CCACAATTTTTGACTCTGGGGTTGTGTTCCACAGTAGAAATGGAAGATAATGATATAATATTGACATCAACAAACAAAATCCATATATTAGCAATATGTAATGAAAATAATGCAGATTCGTCTCACCAACTGGATCAAATATTCTGAGCCCAGGCATGAGGAAAGAGTCAGGTCTTCATGACTCTATTGAAGGCCAATAAAGATGGATCCATCTAAACATTGGGGAGGAGCTCGTTCCCAAAAGGAAGCCCAGCGAAAGAGAAGACGCATTGCTTTAGGGATGGAAGGGAAGGGAAGGCGGGAAAGGGAAGGGAGAAATGGGAAGAGAAGGGAAGGAAAAGAAAAAGGGAAGGAAAGGAAAAAGAGCAGGAGAGGAGGAGAGGAGAGGATTCAATGCCCATTCTTGGAAACATTCAGAAGAGCCACAGAAGGCTCTGGACCAGTGGTTCTCAACCTTTTTAATGCTGCAACCCCCAACCGGTCGTAAGTCGAGGACTACTCAACCGGTCGTAAGTCGAGGACTACTCAACTGGTGCAGCACCGTTTGCAGAATGGGACTTTTGGCGGGCTCAGCAGGGCAGAGACAGCCTGGACAATTCCTATTGGCTTTTGAAAGCCAATAGAATTAGACTCTATTCAAGAGAGTCTATTCTATTGGCTTTCAAAAGCCAATAGAATAAAAGGGAGTAGCACAGCTAAGGAAAAGGGGAAAAAATGGCAGACTGCGTTGTTTGGCGACCCCCGTGAAATGGTCGTTCGATCCCAAATGGGGTCCCGACCCACAGGATGAGAACCACGGCTCTGGACAGAAATTTAGCACTGGGGTGGGGTTATTAAGGTTCCCTTGAGGCTTATATTGCTTTTATCCCATCCCACAGAGTTACATTACTAAAATATGAGTTTCCATTTCCCAGATCTCCTCTGCCTGCAGTTGTACGAAATGAGGACGAAGAGTATTCTGTAAATTTCTCCACTGAGACAATATACTTTACAGGCAGGATTGGGGAGAATGGAAGCTCTTCCTTATTTGGCAACATGATTGAAAATGGACATGGTAACATTGTTCTATTGCCTCCCTCAACCAACATGGGGAGAGGGGAAAAATGAGCTTTCCTTCAGTGTTCCATGAAGATTTTTGGCAATGTTGGAACATCTCTCTCTTCAGATACTATTGATTTGGGTGAAGATACTTCTGTTCTGCTCCATGCTATTCTGTGCCATTCTATTTTCCTCTGTTCGCGTTCATATAGCCAGTCTACTATATAATAATGTAAAGTGCTGGTCTGCTTTGTACAACATGCTAAAGCTGGGTGTTTGCAACATGTTGGAACATAAGTTATCCATTTCATTTTATCTTTGTCTAAAGTGTTGTGGAGCCCCGGGTAGTTGGTGTTGGAATATGGGTTGAATGGGGAGGCGGAGGGTTCTGGAGAACAGCTGTGAGAAGGAAATGAAACCAGCTTGTAGAAAATATGTGAGTTAAAGGAAAATCAGTCCTTGTTAAACATGCCTGAATAGGGGTAATTTCAGGCCATTGATGTATTTCAGTTATGGAGAGAGAGAAAAAAAGGATGCTGATGCATTTCCCAACATGGAGCCTTAAAAAAATGAAAATAAAATAAAATGGAAGTAATTGCTTCAGGGACCCCTTGAGTTAAAACACACAGGTGTTTTGAGGGGAACATAAACATTTTTTTCCTAAATGAGGCGTTGAGGGCTGGAAGAAGGGCAGTAAAATTAGTGGAATTACTGCCTGATTTTAACCAGATGATTGCTCCACTTGGACACTGGCGCATTTTCATTAGGGACTCTTAATTTATAAGGCATTTGCTGCATTCCAGTGGAGGCTGGAAAACTCCCTCAGGTCCTAAGGAATGCCAGCTCTACAACCTTAATGGCAAGCAGATACGCCTTGCTGCAGGTTGTGAGTGTGTGTGTGTATGTGTGTGTGTGGTACACTTGATTTCATCAAAAGCAATTCAGCCGAAATTCTCCACCAATTTAACCCTTCAGATTAAAAAAAAAAATGGAGAAGCAACATGTCCTCGGATTCGTATGGAAGGTGGGTATAAAATGATTATACTAATTTTTAGGAATAAGCATACTTGAGGGGTCCTTGGTGCTCTTTGAGCTTGGTTGTTTTCTTGCAGATGTTTCATTACCCAAACTGGATAACTAGTTTCCATTTCGGTTTCCATTCCTAGTTGGGTAATGAAACATCTGCAAGAAAACAACCAAGCTCAGAGAGCACCAAGGACCCCACTGTTATCCATTGTTTTTTTAAAAAAAATGGTGAGAGGGACTGTCCTATTTTACACAAAATCTGAATGGACATGGGCTTCTATTCTACTTCATCAAAAGGTTCTAGAGAGGAATAATGTGCTTATTATATTATCCCACTTTTTTCTATCCAAGGATGTCCCAAACAAGATTTGGATAAAGAGGTTTAACTCCACTCCCAGAAGCTGTATAAACCCAAGTTTGTGAGTTTAGCTAGGATGAGGGGTCCAAAATATTTTATATCACACACTTCATCTTATGAATCTATTGCACATTGGAGAAAATTACCACTGGTGATGGAATTTACACTGTTCCACTATTCAGATGCAACCACAGGTAAGAGAACATTATTTAATTGGCTTAATTCAGTTTAGGAGAACATGGTATCCTCAACCATGGATCATCTGTTCTTTCAGCCTTCAATTAGACATGGCAAGTAACACACTTAGAATGGCAAACAGACAAAATGGTGCAGTTCTGATGATACCGCTCAGTGGTCTGGGATTGCCAACTGCAAAGCTCTAAGGATTAGGCAGAAAATGGTATGCTGCACCCTATCTTTGGGCAGCCTGGGGTAAGAGCTCTGTGCAGGTTGATCCCACTGACTTCATCCCCAACTGCTTCACTTGATCTGCTTTTTGATATGCTCAAGAATTGGCTGATATCTCTTCCAGATACTACCAATGCTTGCATCCATTCATAAACACGCATAGAGGAAGTGAGAAGGACAAGAAGGGAGGCCTACATACATTGGTGAACATATGTCAGCTCACTCTTCACGTCTCAGAGCTGGAGAGAGTGACAGAGTGAAACCAAGACACACAATTAACTCAGGATGCCCATGTTGGGTTTTTTGTGTTTTATTATTTGCAAATTGCCACGCCACAGAGGACAGACAGGTTTTGGGGTTTTTTTGGAATCTAGGTAATATTTTGAAAACAGCAATTTGGGGAGTGATGACTTTTAAATCCCTGGAGGAACACAGGGAGATCCATTCATGGGATCCTGCCCAAGACTTGTTCCTTTAGCCCAGAACAGAATTATGAATGGATTGAATTAGATTCCAGGTTAAACATCTGCTGAGCAAACATTACTGAAGGAGAAATAAACAGCCTTTGCTGTCTTAGGCTGGGACGACTCATTCTGTTGCAGAAAGAAAATAGACCATAAAAAAATTCTAAAAAGAGGGAGGGAAGACATTTCCTGCTGATGTTTAAAAACTCCCTAAATCCTATCTGACCACACTTCTGTGCAATGGCTAAGACTGACCCTTTACTCCAAAATATGTTCCCACAGATGGAGAAAGAGATTATGAGATTGGGGGGGGGGGGAAGGAGGAGAAAAAAAAAGAAAACCACAGACCTGCATGAGCTAATATTGTTCCAGATGCATTATCGTCTAATCTCCAGGAAGACAATGTTCAGAGGATAGAAGTATGTAATATTCCTTTTGGCACTCAGAGAAAGATCTAAAAGTTACACTTAATCTTTCCCAGTGCTGGGATTTCCACCTATTGCTCTGAAGGAAAAAGGGGGAGGAGACAAAACACCTGCCCAAAATATTTTTACCCAGGTTGTAGCAATCTACCCAGATTGAGTTCCCAACAGGGCTAATGCTTGGAAGGGCTAATGCTTGGAAGTAAGCAATTCAGTTAGGCTTACAATGACTTCCAAAAAAGAAAAAAAACCCTCCATATAGAAAATATAATGCAAAGTATAATTATCTCCCCAATATTCCACTTGGTGAGAATTCAGTGAACAGTAAACAAAGGATTTCCCCCCCTCTTCTTTTTAAAAATCCCCAGGACATATTTTCTTGAGCTGTGAAACATGTCTGGACAAGTAAACACCCAACTTATGTGTAGAGTGATATAAAATAATAATGCCAACAAAGTTTATTGGCTGCTCTTTGTTTAGATCTGGCCTGAAAAACCAGGCCAGACTCATTAGAGAGTAGCATATAGTTATAGTTTTCAGGTCCTCTCTGCAACTATCAAGTGGTTTTTCCAGGCCAGATGCAATATTTTTTGCAGTCCAGAGCTGATAACTTGCCTTGCATCTGAGGAGAGGGGAGGGGAGTGGATAGGAGAGGAGAGGAGAGCAAAATAGAAGTATTGGATCTGGGATGAAAAAAATCCGGACAAGAAATAGATGTCAGCCCAGAGGTTCAAAGAAGACTAGCTCTTTGCTACAATCTAGTGTACTTCAGATTTTTGCAGCTTGAATCTAAAGCCCAGTTTAAAACTAAAGGAATCCTGGCTTTATTTCCCATTGCTAGAACGAGGAAGAAAAATCATAACAGGGAAACATGCGCGCAGAAGAACACACACAAAATTTCTCTCCAAACTGACAGTTTTAAGGGCTTTTAAAATATCTAATGCTCCAGGTCCTAAATTGGCAGTAAGCCAGTCTGGGCCTTAAAGGGACCCACACTTTATTATACTTTCTAATTCTTCCAAAGTCTGTCTTTAGGATATATGAGCTCGCTCTAAGACAACTACTCCATTCTCATCCTCCAGTGGTATACACAGGTCTCAGCTCATAAATTGAAAATAGAAGATCAGTAAATCAGCCCAGGCTGTTTCAAAGGGACACTGTGAATTTCCAGTCAAATCTTTCAGTTTAGCTTAAATATTTCATCTTAATGTCACCTTTAGAAAAATCTTTCATTCGAGTAAGTTACAACAGTCAGCGCTAAACTGATTACACTTCCCCACTGACCTTCCCAAGCAAGAATCCCAACGGCACTTGGCAGCTCTCGGTTATAAAGCTGAAAGAAGAAGCTTTTTCTAAGGCAGCCAAGAGATTCAAGATCTTTCCTCCGCTGCAGCTGTGATTAGGGCTGCACAAATCTTCAAAGCGGTGCCTCGGTTCCTTGGAAGAATGAAATAACACATAAATATAGGTAAGCCTCTACTTAACGACCACAACTGAGCCCCAAATTTATGTTGCTAAGCGAGACATTTGTTAAGTGACTTTGCTAGTCAGAAGGCTGCAAAAGGTGATCACAAGACCCCGGGCCACTGCAACCGTCATAAATATGAGTCGTTTGCCAAATGTCTGAATTTTGATCACCTGACTCTGGGGAAGGCTGCAAGGGTCGTTAAGTGTGAAAAATGGTCATCAGTCACTTTTTTCAGTGCTGTTGTAACTCCGAGCGATCATTAAATGAACTGTTGTAAGTTGAGGTCTACCTGTAAAGGGAATTGGAATTGGGATAAAAAATAAATGAATGACTTTGAGAGGTCATAGAAGATTGTCGTAGAACCAGAATAACAGAATAACAGTGTTCGAAGGGACTTGGAGGTCTTCTAGTCGGATCCCCTGCTCAAGCAGGAGACTTTATACCATTTCAGACAAATGGCTGTGCAATCTCTTCTTAAAAACTTCCAGAGTTGGAGCACCCACAACTTATGGAACGAAGTCATTCCATTGTTTAATTGTTCTGTCAGGAAATTTCTCCCTAGTTCTTTCTTTGATAAGTTTCCATCCATTGCTTCTTGTCCTGACTTCTGGTGCTTTGGAGAATAGGTTGACCCCCTCTTTTTTTTATGGCAGCCCTTCAAATATTTGAAGACTGCTATCATGTCACCCTAGTCGAAGAAGAAGAAGAAGAAGAAGAAGAAGAAGAAGAAGAAGAAGAAGAAGAAGAAGAAGAAGAAGAAGAAGAAGAAGAAGAAGAAGAAGAAGAAGAAGAAGAAGACGAAGAAGAAGAAGAAGAAGAAGAAGTAGAAGAAGAAGAAGAAGAAGAAGAAGAAGAAGAAGAAGAAGAAGAAGAAGAAGAAGAAGAAGAAGAAGAAGAAGTCATTTCTAGGCACCCAGATGTGCATTGCATATACCAAAACTACTTCTATCCAATTAAAATAGATGATTAAGGCTGATTAGGTGAAATCTGGGCAGGTCTATTTGTTGCACTAATGAGTCAGCCAAGCAAAAACTTTGGAGAAGTTTCCTAGTTCTATTTGTTTCTTACAGCTGATCTAGTGGATTTTGTAGTGGATTATAGGAAATGTGGTCCTTTTTGTGAAGAGAAGCAAATGATCATAACAGGATTGGGAGTAGATCTACATGCACACAAATTATGCCCTGATATTACATTTGTCTCTTTCTCATGTCTGATTTCTACATCAGGGAAGAGGAACTGGAAAATGTCCTGCAGGTTATGAGAAGGTTTGCAATACAAAAATTCCTTCCTAAAGAGACAGTGTCTTAAGAGGAAGAAGGGGAAAGAGCAATCTTTGTGTTACACATGATTTTGTGAAGATAAATAGTCTACCAAACCGTGTTGCTGAAGGACAGAAATCAACAAGGGCTTACATAGTGGGTGATCTTTAGCATAATACCAACAAACTTTTCCAAATGTTTTGAGGTAAGTCCAACTGTTGGGCCTCTCAAAACCAATGTCCCCCCACAAGCCGTGTTTTAACAATATAATAGGTAGAAGCCCTAACTCTATCTCACTTGATTTACCATTTGACCTATCTATCAACCTTTCATGAAAAGTTACACTTGCCAGATCTAAGACCTCAAGCAAGGAAACATGATCTATTTCTCTATCCCCCTCAAGGGATTCGGTATTTTTCTCTCTAAACTGTCAGGTCTCTGTTTTCTCTCCACGATAGAGTCTTTCCCGAGGGGACTTTTAATTATTTGTCATGACAAGTCTTCTAACTTCTTTGCGGCCAGGCCACAAAACACAACAGGGCCTTTGACTTCTTCCAGGGAAGGGTCAAATATACTGTCCTTGTGGCTTCCCCAAAGGTGAGCCAGGGACACAGAAAAAACTTGCATAGGAGGGCTTCAACACACACACACACACACACACACTGTCCTAGGTGGGAAAGACATCCTGTTTATTAACCTCTGTCCCGTTGAGACAGAGGTGTGGGACAATATCTACAAATATGGTTGAATGGCTCTACGTTTTAGCCTTTTCTGAAGAACAGAAGGTAGCTTCCAGAGATGACTATTTCTCTAAGACACACACTGACAACATTAAAGCAACAAGATCTGTTCTTTGGAAGGACAGATACTGAAGCTGAAGCTTAGATACTTTGGCCATGGGAAATATGGAAAGCAGAAGCAGAAGGGGACGGCAGAGGATGAGAGGGTTAGAGAGTGTCATCTACACAATGAACATGAATTTGGGCAAACTCCAGGAGACAGTGAAGGACAGGGGAGGCAGGCGTTGGATGGTCCATGGGGTCATGAAGAATCCAACAGGATTTAGCAACTGAACAACAACAAAATTAGAATCTAATCTTGAAAGGCAGGACCCTCTACAAAGGTTACTCTTTAATCTCATATCAGAAGTCAGTTACAAACCATGATTCCCGCAGTTGTCACTTTGCTTATGAAAACTAAATTAATGTACCCCCATGGCAATGCAATAAATATGGCGTTAAATGAATGATATGATTTGAAAACAGATGTTGCTAGACCCCCCCCCCGAATGTCGTATCTTGCAAGTTTTGCACCCAGACCAACCTCAGCTACTCCTATACGCCCTGAAATGTTTTCCTTTCTGCCAAGTGATGTAGTGCAGCTCTACACCTGGCTAAGTTTAATTTGTTATTTATGTCAGCTTTGCATATTTGTAAAGTTCAGGGGTCTTCTGCCCTAGCTCAACCTTGCCAAGTGAGGGCTCACATGTGGCTCCCAATTTATTTCTAATAAACTTTACTTGGAAGAACATATGTGATCAATTTTGCTGATGATTAAATGAGAACAGGCTCAGCAACATCCTAGTTAGCCGGACCAGTTTGAAGTTTTGCTCTTTGTGTGTCTATGTGTGTTTAAATAAATCACTTCATACTGCTTTATACTGCACTGGTAAGACAACACTTGCAATCTTGTGTCCAGTTCTGGCCACCATAATACAAAAAAAAAATGTTAACACTCTAGAAAGAGTGCAGAGAAGAGCAATACAGATGATTAGAGGTCCAGAGGCTAAAACATATGATGAACCATTGCAGGAATTGAGTTTGTCTAGTCGAGGGAAGAGAAGGACTAGGGATGATATGATAGCAGTCTTCCAATATTTGAGGGGCTGCCTCAAAGAAGAGTGAGTCAACCTATTTTCCAAAGCACCTGAAAGCAGGACAAGAAGCAATGCAGAAAAACTTTTCAAAGAGAGATGAAACTTTGAATTAAGGAGAAATTTCCTGACAGTGAGAACAATGAATTAGCAGAACAACTAGTTTCCAGAAGTTGTGGGTGCTCTATCACTGGAGGTTTTTAAGAGCTTTGACAACCATTTATTTAAAATATATAGGGTCTATTGCACAAGCCAGAGGTTGGACTAGAAGACCTCCATGGTCCTTTCCAGCTCTATTATTCTGTGACTTCTATGACTTTTGATCTCATTTACACATGCACACATACATCAAATTGGCTGGCTTGCTGATTTTATTTTCCCTTTTAATTAGGGCACATACTGAGATACGTACAACTGTTTGGAACTTCCTTATCACCTCACCTCCAATTCTGCTCTAAGTGCAAATTAATAACACCGCTCCAAACCTTTAACTTCAGCATCCCTGGAAAATGCCCACCAAACACCTACAGCATGAACATGTTATTCTTAAGTGTCTACTCTTATCAATTTGATAAGAGAGCCATGGTGATGCAGTGGTTAGAATGCAGTATTGCAGGCTGACTCTGCCTACCACCAGCAGTTCGATCCTGATGGGCTCAAGGTTGATTCAACCTTCCATCCTTCTGAGGTTGGTAAAATGAGGACCCAGATTGTTGGGGGACAAGAGGCTGACTCTGTATATCACTTAAAGAGGGCGGTAAAGCACTGTGAAGCAGTATATAAGTATATAAGTATAAGTGCTATTGCTATTAGGATTGCCTGCCTACATTCAGACCCAAATGATCAGTGTTTCATAACTTATAGTTGATATTGTTAACCTAAGCTTTAGGGTTTTTTTTTCCTTCTGTTCAATCATGTCCAATTTTTGGAGACTGCCTGGATCAGTCCCTGCAGGGGTTTTTTTGTTGTTGTTGCAAGGATTTAAAAGTGGTTTGCCATTGTCTCTTTCCTTGGGGCTGAAAGAAAGTGACTGGCCCAAAGTAACCCTTGTTGCTTTGTGCCAAGGCAGGAGTGAAACTCACCATCTCTTAGTTTTTAGCCTGATGCCTTAAACACTATACCAAACTGGCTGTCAAGCTTTAATTACAATCTGGCTAATTTTCTTCCATTACACATATTACTAAGTTAGCCCCTGCTGTTGATAATTTCTACTTTCCACTTAACCTTTTAAATGGAAATGGAAAGCTTGACAATTTGAAGAAAATGACGTGTAAAGTTTGCACGTGTCCATAATATTTCTAGATGGTCACGTTTGCCAGTAACGGTTACAGAATATGGGATTAGATCGTATCTGTTATGATTCAGCAGCACATCTGTAACTTTATGTTCTAACAAAACATAATCATAAGTAAGCATACAAAGAACACAGACCAATATCCCGGCATGTAGGTAATCAGAGCAGGAATTCATGAAGATAGTAATTTGCAGCATAATTATAGAGAGTCCACAGTGCATTAGCTTCCTCTAATATGGTTTTGAATGCATTTTCTGTAATGTGCCTTTTAAATACAACTCCTTCTAATGTGAGTCATGTGTGTAACTGCACACGTGTGTCCGTGCACATACCGATTTGTGACATATTTCTCTCATACGCCTGTCTAAAATTAATGTTCCTCTGTAGAAATATAATTTCCAATATGCTTCTTTATGTACAAAGTATACTTTTGGGGACAGAGTGCACGTCTCTTTTAGTCGCTCCATCTACTTCATTCGGTTGAAGTCTCAGCAGCATCATATTACGTGTTTTCTACACATGGACTGGTCCACACAACATGCT